TAAAGTGTTAAGTGTGATACTACTGACAATAAATAGTCACAGTCAATCACTTTGGAAACGTTCTGCAACTTAACTTTATGTTAGAGGCAGTCGCTCCTAAAAAGAGGCACTGAGGTATTTTTAAAGTTAAGTTACTTTAACTTCAAATAACGTTGGATATGGATTTTTTTATTATATTTTTGGCATGTTAGTTATTTCAAACTTACAGATTAACACAAATATACACATTTGAATAATCCATTATTTAACCCTGGAGAACCCATGGGGTCAGAGCCAACCCCATTGGTTTACTAGGGAAACCATGGGGTCAAATTTGACCCCATGGGTTCTCCAGGGTTAAAAAGAAAAATGTCAAAGCCAACTAGAATTTATATATAAAGTAAGACGTTATTGGACTTTAACTACTAGATTTACTATTTACATTAGATGTGCAACATCAAAAGAGCTTATTGGCTGCCTTGAAATGTAAGCTTGTTTTTCTAAAAAACACAAAACTACAACACTAAAGGAAAAAAAAAAACATGTATCATATGAAATAATTAAAATAGTCTTTAACAAACTTTAACATCAAATATTACTATTGCTGCAGCCATCACTGCTGCGTGAATACGTTTGGAGGAGAAAATGTAAATGAGGCGAATCCGATTTAAATGACGAGCGTTTGATTTATCTTGAAGTCTTGTGTCTATGTTTCAGGCTCAGTGTGCAATTAGATAAGTCGAGCATATCCCCACAGCTGAAACAATGGTGTAGTCTTGTTTTTGATCAAAATGGTCCAACTATTTTCTTTCTTCCTTCCTGTCAATCCCCATTACTGCAGCGCAGTGAATTCCCATTGCATAATCTAACTTACCCTTTATGTTGTTTCTCACCCTATTACATGCTTTCCTAAGCCCCAAGTTTGAGAACAAAAACCACTGGTGCCTAACTCCCATCTTTCCCAAGTTAATGTTTCTCTCTCTCTTCCTGTATGCCCAACATCGTTCCCTCCCTCTGTCTTCTTCCCCTTCAATCTCTCAAGGTACAGTATAGCTTATTCCCTAAACAAATGCAGATGCCATGCTTTCTTCACTCACTTAAGAGTCTCCAAATCCCCTTCATTTGTTAAAGATTTCCCCTTCATTATTGCCTTTCGCTCCTCTTTCTTCTCTTTGTTTATTGGTTATGCAAGTCTGCGCTCAACATTTCTCATCATCTCACTCCCTACACTGTTTTTAATATTCATTTTAAGAAAGAAACCCAGTGGGGGTGACAATCGCTTTACACGCAGAACGCTCAGAGGGAAACGCACAAACTTTCTGAGACGCTGCCTTAGACAAAACAATAATAGGAGACAGTGTATCTATATTTTGCCCTTGCCTTCTCTGCACACTCTATTATTCTCCCCATGCATGTTGATCACCTAAAGACCAACCTTAACTTTTCCTCATTTCCCTCGTCGTTCTGCATTTCCCTCCTTTTCTCTTTGTGTCTATTTTCTTCCCTTCCTCCCATTTCTCCAGCTTTATTTTGCACTGCTCCCTTTAGCTTTCTCATCAGTAATTCCTTCTTCCCTCCTTCCTTCCACCCCTCATCTATCTTGTCTCCCGCTCTTCCTCCCACCTCTCTGTACTGCTATCCATTGACAGATATTGAGTTTTCCCTTCATGTTGCTGTCATCACCTCTTGCTTATCATGCTCAGTCTTTTGCAGCTATAATAGCAGTATGTCACTGGCTACCATGTATGCACACACACATTATACAGTGACATATACACATTAATCCATAAGATATGCTAATTGATTATATAAAAGACAGTCTTTCGTTT